CCAGCCATATCGCACAACAACAAAAAAAAAATATTGAGTGCACCTTTAACTATTAAATATTGACTGACAAAAAGCTTGTGCCCAGGGTGTTTAACCACAATGGTCACTTCCTCCACTGCTCTCTGGTTGTTATAGAGTGACACAGAACATTCCAGAAAGACCCCCAGAATATTCCTCAAAGGCCAGCCGCTCACTGCCCCAGAATGAGATGGGGCTCGGAGCAGCTGCCCACTGATGAGAATGAGGAGGAACGGAGGGATGGAGAATGAGATTAGGGTCAGCGGAGAAGTGGACCAATCCCAGCCTCACTGACAGTGATAACACACTCCCTCCCCTGCACTAACACATGTGTCCTTTACATCTCAGGACCACTCAGCTGCAGGGCTTCAGCCAACACACACACACTGGTATACACACATTCAACTGGTCTGAACGTCCCTGCTGAGACCCATGCTGAGATCAACAGGGGTATGTATCCCCCTCACCCCTTGGTGGTGCCGTCTGTCCGCCAGGTTCTGCCAGCCTGACTCTTATCTCTGGGGTAAGGCTGGCACTGGCATCAGAGCATCCGTACCGTATCCTCACAAAGAAAAGCACCACATGCCACTAACATCCTCTCATATGACTGCCAGTCCGCCAGTCTCCACCTCCTGCATCGCTTTTGGTTTGTTTACAAGGTTTATTATGACCATACCTTTTGAACAATACACTTTATTTCAATTAATCGTCAAATATAATTTACTCATAACTAATAACCCAAAAAGCTTTATGTAGCACAACCCGCAAACGACTAATTCATATACTGAAATCACACTTGGAAATTTTGTAACTGCAAACGTTTTTATTTTCCATTATGTTCTGTTCTAATTTTCTTGTGTCTTTTCATTGTATCCACAGGAAACATCAGGTTTATGTTAACCAGGGGCAAATCGACTAGTAACTTATCAGTATTTCCAACCACATTACGTTAACATCACCCTTTCAGATCAGTGAAAAGCAGACCACGTGAATGTTTGTACATCTTTTGCCTAGATGTCAGTACTGCACTAAACAGCTTAAAATATTATTTATTTTGTCTAACAGTGGTTCTCAACTGAGACCTCGCAGGTCTGTTCTGATTGGACACAGACAGCAGGTGATAAAACTATGCTAAATGCACAGAATAAAATGCAACTAATATTATAATCATGCATAGTTAGGATGACGAGACTTGTTCAGTTTTAAAAGGAAAATTAAATGTCTAATCAAACTAGATGGCATTTTACCTATAACTAGATAAATTAGGTAAATACTAACATGGATACATTGGATGACATGCTCTCATCCTCAAAATCATGAACAAATATTACCCAAAATATATTTTGTAATTATTATTTGTACTGAAGTGAAACATGGTTTGTGCCCCAATGTTTTTTTGTGAACCATTACTTTTGACGATTTTAATTATTTTAGTTTATTATTTAATTCTATTTTAATGTTTGAATTAAAGAATATTTTTAAATTATTTTGTGCAATAAATTATTTTGTTGCTGTGTTGGGTCAGTTAAGTAAAACATGTTGAGAACCTCTACTCTATACTAATGGTTTGAATTACAGTGACATCTAGTGGATTTGTTTGGAAGTACAAAAGTGAGACCCTTGCAAACATTTTTTTCACACAGTATAACTGTACATAATCATACCATTAATTCGACAACAACAGTAAGATGTGTAACGGTATGAGGATG